GAGGTGAGAATTATTCTTATCTCCATTGGACAGATGAGAAAACCGAAGTTCAGAGTGGTCACACAGTTACTCAGTAAAGGGGCAGAGGCTTGAAATGAGGACATTTGACTCAAGCCCCCCACAAACCCCATTCACATCCTAAGGGCCAGTCCATTCATAGCGGATCAGTATCCACCCAGAGCTTTCAGTCTGAAACGCGACTTTCAATGCCCTGGGACTGAACTCAGGTTGATGGGTACTAGTGTTGGTTTGGGGTCCTGAAATGATTGCTGGCGGGACAGACAGGAGGATGCTTTAAGGAGAACGTGAGCCATCAAGGTCAATGTGAAGGAAGGTAGAAATAGATGGGAGACTTAAAACACGAGGAAGAAGAGAAAAGGTAGGAAGCAAAGCAAAATAAGGCTCCGCAGAGGATAAAGCGTATGGTGGCCGAAAGGACATGAGCAAATCTCTTCGTGAAGCCACTAAGAGGAGGAAAAATGAGGAAGACAAAATGGTGCGACAAGTACTCCTGTGACTGAGAAGCAAACCCGTCAACATCACCACAAAACCCCCTCTCGCTCAGCCGTGGGTGTTCAGTCTTGAATGCAATGCTAGCCAGGGCTGAGGGAACCCTCAGGTGGACCCTTAAGAATTACCATCATTTACCAAAGTCACTTTTAAAATTAAAACCGAACCCTAATAGTACAGATAAAACACAAGGTCAACCAATGGCAGCTGATGAACAACAGATAAAACAAGTGAGAACAGACTCCTCAATCTTGCAGTTCCTCCCTGGAGCAGGGATACTTAACTGGGGTCCACAGACCCCAAGGTTATTCATGGAGAGATTTCAGGGGGTGCAAGAACTCTGTGGGGTGGGGGAACTTCCACTTTATTTTCACTCATTTCTAACTGAAGTAACCATCTCCTTCTATTGTAAATATAGGCAGGGAACCACGGGAGCGATTTCCACTGGAACGGTGACTTTGTCACCAATAAATATCCACCCGGCTTGATGATCAAGCTCTGAAGAGCACATCGTATTTCCCATTTCAACTAAAAGGAATTTTAGACTAATCAATTTACAGAGTTAGGTAAATTGTTCCCACATCTGTGCTTTCATGTCAACTTGCTGATGCCTTCATTATTTCATTTATCACACAGTATTAGAACTGTTTGTTATACACACTCCCTGAGTGTATGTGGTGACGATGTTTTATTCATTTTTATCTCCAGTGTCCATCAGAATGTTGTGCAAATATTAAGTTTCCAATAAACATTGGACAGGGGTGTTTATTGATGCCGTGGGTTCTTTCTTCAACCTTGAACTGTGGGTGTGCATTTGAAATGCATGATCATTAACCAAAGCACGTTGGTATTTAATCCCCAAAGCAATTTTGGGAGATGAAATATCTTCTGCTTAATTTTCCTCATCACCCAAATACTCCTTTTAACCTGGGGCTTACTCGTTTTTTAATTACACTTCTGTTTGTCTAATTTAGCCTGGGAGGCCTGTTCCTCATTCAGAACTGCCACCAAAGACAGAACTAACTCTTTTGGGTGCCTTTCAGTCAAAAGATTTCCTGGCAGAACAACTTCTGGTTATTACAGATAGAGCTGATGGGAAGCTCTGGTGCACGTGTCACAGCAAAAACACGCAGCATAAATTGTAAATGTCCCAAATGGCCATAAAATAAACTTTGTGTGGTTCTAAATCAAAGGTGTCGGGGCCTTTGCCTTCTTAATAAAGTCCTGTACAGGCGCTGGGGCTTTACCTGAAACCCAAATCCACAGTCACAGTGATAAAGGGGTGGACACTTCGAGGAGGTTGCTCACATTTGCTCCAAAAGGGCCAGGCTGGCTTGCACGTGCGTTTATGTTTTTCTGAAAACTCTTCTAAACTTTTGCAATGTACATTCACACTCCTTCTTCGGGAGGAATTAGAAGGGCATATGGTGGAGTTGCCACCTTCAGCAGGATTTTCCCCCTTCCCCAGCTCCTCAAGTGGGAGTTTCCCACCTACAAGCTCAGCTGGGTCTTCCCTCCTCCAGGAGAAAAGCTGCTGAACTGCTTTCTACACTCTCGTCCATCGGATTTCATATGGTGCCTCATGCCCGGGTATTGTTCCTAGGATGCCGAGATTTTCCAGCTCTTTCTTGTGATGTCTGCACCTATTTCTTTAGTTCAAATCTCTTTCTCTCCAAGAGGCCTTCCTGGCATCTCTGGGCTTCTGTTTTCATCCATCCTCTGAATTCTTGTTTCAGGAATCTCCTGTGAGTATTGGGTTTCCTTATTATTCTGCCACATCTCTTCTGAATTGCCACGTCTCTTTCCTTGGGGAATGTGGTCTTGCCTAGGAGTTGGGGCCCTGGGGAAACCCAAGATGACTATGGCTTGGATGTCTAGACTTCTAACTAATATTCACCCTGTTAGTCAACTTGAGTCATCTGTTGGAGACCCCAGGACTTCTTAGCTCCTCGGGCCACTGCTGGTCTGAATTGTGCTTTAGGAATGCCGTTTTCTGGGGTACCACTTCTGAGCAACATATCCCTAGAGTGGTCCTCGTGGAAAGTTTTTACAGATCATGTCAGTCCTCTGCTAAGAACCTTCCAACAGCTCCCACCTCACTCCCGGTGAAACAAAGAGGCCTTACAGAGGCCTGAAAACCCTAAAAGATGTGTCTCCCACCCCAAAAGTTCCATCTCTCTGACCTGATACAGTATAATCCTCCCTAGACAGAGCTACCCGGCTGTTCCTCCAACACCTAGGCCTATTCTCAGCCCAGAGTCTTTGCGTGTCAATCCTTCTGCCCAGAAAAATCTTCCTCCATATGTTTGCACAAGTCAGTTCTTCACCTCCTAACTCAGATGTTGCCTTCTCAGTAAGTCCTTCCTTGCCTGTTCTATTTAAAATTGCCAAGCATGTTCAGCCTCCTTCCCCAAATCCTGCTCCCTATTTCTTCATTTCTGATGTTATTTTTCTTTTAAGCCCTCATTACTACCTAATATACTACCTATTTTACCAACTTATTGTGTTTATGGTCTGATTCCCCCTTCTAGAAAGTAAGCTCCATAAAGACTAGGGGGGAAAAGTTCATTTTTATCTACCACTGTTTAAAAATATTTACTGAGCAGGTGTCTAATAAGTATTTATTGAATAAATGAATGAATGAGGGTTTCTTTTTGAGGTGATGAAAATGTTCTGAAATTGAGTGTGGTGATGATTGTACATCTCTGTGAATAGACTAAAAACCATTGAACCATACATTTTAAATGAGTGAATTATATGGTATGTGAAAAAAGCTGTTAAAAAGATAGAGAGGCTGTTGTCGTAATTAAGGAGGTCACTGCGTGTGCTCTGTGTGTGTAGGACAAGCACAACAATCACCTTCCTTCTCACGGCATTGGCTTGAAATCGGAATTGGCAGAGGCATCTACACAGTGGTGATAAAGCCAGGGCTCTGGAGTCCGAGGGCCAAGGTTCAAATCCCAGAGGCACCACTTCCTAGTTGTGGAACCTTGGGAAAGCCATTAAATTTCTATATAAGTTCCTATACCTGCAAAATGGGGCTGACAAAAGCATCAAAATCCAGAAGTTGTTGAGAGGATTAGGCTTAGCACGGTGTATGGCTATAGGGTGAGCATTCAATACACGGTTGCTATTTTAATTTTTGTTATTATTATATCTTGGAGTACTAGGGGTGGGTGACTGGAGAAAGTCATGTGGCAGTGGTTGTAGCTGAGTCTCAAAGCCATTATGGCCCATTAAAATTTACTTTCTCTATCAAGGAAATCCCTCCTTACTCCCAACCCAACCCCTGCCCAGCTGTTCTTTTACTGCTTCAACCTTAAGTCAGTCGTTCATAAACAGGTAATCAAAATCATGTGGAGCTTATTAAAAACAAATCCTGAGCCTCACATTTAGGTACTGGACAGTGCTTCTCCAAGTGTGGTCCTGGGACCAGAAGCATTATTAACACCCGCTCTACAAGAGACCTGCTGGAAATTTAGGGAAGGGCCTACCAATCCGTATTCCAACAAGCTCTCCAGGTGACTCTGATGCATGTTCAAGTTGAGAAGAACTTACCAGGGAGAATTTGATTTTTGATAAGTAATTCATGTGATTTTGACCCACTCATTGCATCTTGTCATTGAGAAACCAGTGCTAGAACAATAGCATCACTGAATCCCCTATCACACAGTGATGGCTACATCATCTGCAGATCTCCAACCCTACAAGCAGAAACAGCCTTAGAATTCTCTTACATGCACAGACCCCAAAGAAATGGACAGGCCATACAAATACCTCTTAGAATCCACCACTTTAATTTCTATCAAGCTTACTCATTTATTTTGTTTTGGCCTAAGCTTGTTTTTAAGGCTACTTTATTGCTAAATTCATTTAATCTATCAGTTACCAAATATTTATTGTGCCACTACTATGTGTCAGGCACCAATGACAATGCAGAGAATGTCACAATTCATGAGAAAACATCTTGGAGGAAAAAACTGATCATTAATGGAAAGGATGGCATTTCCTTTCCTACGGAGCCTCAGGAACATTCCGCACTGGCCATTTAGATATCAACTTTTCTAAATATAGATGAATGGACTGTATAATTTTTTTCAGTTCTTGCAAAGCCCAGTGATACCAACAAAAAAAAAAGTGAAAATTTATTTGTAGCAAGTTCTTAATTTACTTAAACACAGATAAATATCTTCCTCTTCCTTGTGAGATTGAAAAGATTCCCTAAAATGATTATAACCCCAAAATAATTTGGTAAAAATAAAAACAATAAAACATAGCCTCATTGGGGAAAGAGAGGAGTTTGGTAAAGATGCTAGAATAGTGGGGCTTATAAAATATCAGTGTGGTAGACACTGTGTGCCTGGACAATCTCCCAAGTTGGTGTCAATGACACCTGCTGTTATCTCTTTTAAGTTATCCAAGAGTATCACCATTTCTATAGGAAAGAGGGTTTTAGTTGTACAAACATAAATCATGTTTCTTGGGCTTACCAGTTTAATATGTTCCCGCTTCTGGTATTTTTCACTGTAATACTGTTCTTGACGAAGATTAAGCAGCTGCTGTTGTTGTTTGTCCTTCAAGTCTATTAACTTTTGGGTCATTTCTGCATCCAGGGCAGCAAGGTCTTGTTCAATCGTTGATGAACCATGGTCAGGGCTACTGGGTTCTGATCTGCAAAGACACAGAGCTTGACTCACAAAACATGCAGGTGATAGCAACGTGGAAGGAAGATCATTCAATAGAGTTCTACCTAGAGAGAGTGCTGTGTTTGGAAATATTTGGATAAGCCACTTGGCGCAGAGGGTGAGATCCGAAGGAGAAGCTTAGCAACAGGGGTCTCCAATCACAGAGAGTGAATGAAATTTATGCTGCTCTAGAGAGAGGCAGGGGCAGAAAGACAAGCCAGGAAGCTGGGGGGTCCTCATCGTGATGGTGAGAATGATGACTTCCCTTTGGGAAAAATTATGTCTAATAGAATTAAACTAAAGGTTTTTATCTTTTTATTATTTTTAAATGCGGCCTGTATAATGTCACTGCCAGATACATTTCCCCTACGAAAACTTCAGTAGACTCTACATTGAGCGGATTCTATCAGGGGAAATTGAAGATATGCCATATTTTGCATTTGGAGCAATGTGGATTAAAAACAGAACACATGTAGATGCCACGTGCAGATAACCCTCCCACCTGCCATCTGAGTTCTAGTTCCTTAAGACCTTTAACAGCAAAGACACTTCATGAAAATAAGGCTCTGTGGGGGCTGTACCAACTTCATCGATACCCTTATCCAAATGGCACTTTCCTCAAAAAGCTTAAGTTACAACAAAAAAGAGATGGCATTAGTCTATTCTAAAATATTTAGAGTGTTTCCTCTGAGCAGAGTGGCTTTCTCTGCATTGTTCTTAGGGAACTATACAGATATTTAGAAGGTCAGGAGTGATGCTGAAATAAATTAAAGCAAGTCTCACTAACTTATGGTGTGATTCCTTCAGATTTTGTATTCTGTATTATCACCTGTAGGAAACAACAGAAAGGGAGACAGAGTACTGGGAACAGGGTGCAAAGAGCAGGTAGGCTCTTTCCAATTGTATGGAACCTTGTCCAGAAATAAGACTAGGCCACCACCTAAGACAAGCAGCACATCAGACTCTGCCTCCATATATTTCAATTGCAGTCAAACGGACCAGGCAGAGGAAGTTTCTTAGAATCAGCTGTCAATAATTCCCATTGCTTTTTCTTTGAATTAGGCCAGCATGAATGGCAACTCGTGGGGAAGGGAGTTGGTTGAAGTTGGTGTTAGGACCTTATTTTGTCACAGAGGAGATGCAGAATTCTCTCAAAAGTTTCGTTCTGCAATTTTATTTGCAATGCCAAATGAGAACGGACGTTCTACAAGGCTCGTTACTGCAGTGTTTAGGTGGCCCTTCCTCTGCATGAACACGAGTATGTGGATCATCTGTTATGGCAGGAAGTCAGTGTAGCCAGAACATCAAGGCATTTCTTCAATCAGCTACGACCACCCCAGCAGAGGCAACTCCCATTTACTGACCACTCCGCGTGGGCTAGGCACACTCACAACAACCCAACAAGTAGGTATGACCGTCTCCAGTATACATTTGAGAAACCTGGGGCCCAGAGAGACAATTTGCCCAAGGACACAGCATAAGGGCACAGCAGTGCAACTTACCCAAGGACAGAGATCCCTGGGGTCTAGCAGGGCAAAACCTGTGCTCCTAAGAGCAACATAATGTCACTGCACACCATATCTGGACAGAGACTGTTTTTGAATAAACGGTCCTTCACATTATGTGGAAAGTGCAGTTGAGTAAGAAAACGATCTAATGGATTTGACACCCATCCATTCATTACTCTGAAGTATTTTCAGAATTTTACTGTATATCAAGGAAGATGGATGGGTGGCAGATGGACATAACCAGACTTCAGGCTTTGACACTTGAAGAAAAGCTCCCTCTGGTGTATCTTTAGATACTAGGTGCTTAGAGATTTTTTTGTTTTGTGTTTTTTGAGGGAGAGTATAAAAAATAACCAAGTGAATAATGTTTCTGCATCTTCTGTAAAAACAGAGTTGAAGGCTTTACCCCTTCTGTCACCTAATGCTGCTTGTATGACATTCAAAACAAAATCTTTGGTAATTTAATACCAGGAAAATATTTGTCTCTCCTGGAAGAGCAAGCAAGTTTCCTTTAATCAGATACGGAGAATTATCAAACCCACATTTTTTTTCTCAGAATCTAAGAGCTAAATGCAGTATTCAAGGACAGAAATGACATTATACAGTTGGTGCTGTCAAGTAGGAACACAGTGTGAGCTACATATGTGGTTTTTTTCCCACATATGTAATTTAAAACTTTTAGTAGCCACCTTCAAAAGTAAAAAGAAATGAGTGGAATTAATTTTAATAATATGTTAATATTTTATGTAACCTAATACATCCAAAATATCATCATTTCAACATGTAATTAAAATAAAAGCAATAGATATTTTGCAGCTATTTTACATTCTTTTCTCTTTTAAAAGAAGTCTTAGAATCTAGTGTGTATTTTAGAGTTACAGCACATCTCAATGTGGACAAGCACATTTCAAGGCCTCGATAGTCACATGTGGCTGGTGGTCCCCGTGTTGGGCATCAGGTCTGGATAACTGGTCCACAGCTCAGTCTGTGCATGTGTGTATGTGTGTGTGTGTTGTTTTTCTTTTTCTATTTTCATAGGATTTTTATATACATGGTTTCTATGATGTTACTTCAATACTCTATTGGAAGTTTGCAAGATAAGACTTGTAAGTAAATAAATAAATGAATAAACAAATGAATACATACATAACACTAAAGTAGGAATTTAGCAGAAGTTTCAGGCCAAGCTTTGCCTGAACTGGTTGTGTAACTACATAGAAATGGCAGCGCCTTTAGACTCTGCTTCCTCCTTGAGTAAGTGATAAATATCACCTAGATGGCTTGTAAGACTGCTCCAGCTCTAAGAAACGATGACTTTGTTGCTTTCTAAAACTCAAGTATTAGGTTTGGATTGTGCTTTTAAGTTAAGCACATGTTAAATCGTATGTCACCATATGGATCTAATCACTGTACTTTACCTCTCTCTATAACCTGGCATCGAAATAATGTTATTCAGTAAAAGAAGGACGTAATACAGCCTGTCTAATTCTTAGCTCACCGACAGGTCACTTGTATGCTCACATCGTTTCAGGGGATTTATAAAATTTTCAGTTAGAGAATGCAACTTTATTTCTCAGTGGCAATTATTATAAGTCAAGTTTTTGATAGATTCCTTAATGAGAAAACTTATGACAATGTTTCCAAAAAAGCTTTCAGTAACTGCACAATTAACTTCACATGATTTCCTAGATTTGTGAAGATCATTGGATGATCTTTGACCGTACTTTGTTTATTGGTTAGCCAACATATGAAAAGATATCTGATAAGAGTAATTCGTATACTATAGCTATGGGAAATTAAGTGGAGTGATGATTTTAAATGAATGACTTAAAAGGCTTTTGTCATTTCTCTTATAGTGCAATTCGTTAAAATACTGTACATACACTGAAATAGAAATAAAGGATATTTTTGTTTTTGAAAATTATAAATCTCCTAAACTATACATTTTTAATACCAAAGATAAATAACATTTTATTTTTAAAATGGTGTGGGTTGATGTTTATAAAGATTTTAGAACAATGGTACTCACTAAATAACTAAAATTAAAAATTAAAAATCTTTTTGACAGCTAGCTAACTAAGCCCCAAGGAAGACAAAATTGTCTGTGTAACAAAATTGAAAGTAACTGCATTTTACTTCCATTTCCTGAATTATTAAACTTTGAAGAAGATATTTTTATATAAAAATTACCACTGTTGATTAGAGGGCTTCATGTTGCAAATTTTTTTTTCATTGTCAGCAAGTTCACACTATAAACCTACAAAAGATATTTGAAGAAATTCCAGAAATCTACATTTGGAAGAAGAATCTCATAACATTTGGCATAGTTGATGAGTAGATTTCTTTGGGCATTACTATTCTATGCATCCATTCACTGTGTAGAGACACTCAAAGGGGCAGTTAAAAGATTCCAAGTCCTTTGTGGGACTATAGGCACCACATCCAGGAAGTAGTCACATGTCTACAGAGATGCAGGTTCCAGACGTGCTATGTCATAGGACACGGATGGGGCCTGGGGGGGGCACCCTACTGTGACTCCACTGTAATTACAGCCTCACATGTTGTATGTGCCCCTGGCCAGGTTACATGGCCTCATTGAGCTTTGGGTCCTCACTTGTCCAAGGCAGATGATACCTGTAACTACGTCACATTGCTGCTTCAGAAAATACATAGAAGAGCACATATAAGTGCCTAGCACATGTACTGGGTTGACTAGTGTCCTCCCAACTTTCATGTCCTTCCTGGAACCTCAGCCTATGACATTATTTGGAAATAGGATTGTTGCAAATATAATAGTTAAGATGAGGTCACAATGGATTAGACACTAATCTAACGACTAGTGTCCTTTTAAGAAAGGGGAAATTTAGACATGGACAGACCTATGCAGGAGGAATGCCATGAAATGATGGAGGCAGAGACTGGAGTGATGTGTCTACAAGCCAAGGAATGCCAAGGATCACTGGCAACCACCAGAAGCAAGAAGAGAGAAAGAAAGATTCCTCCCCTAGACTTTTCAGAGAGAGAGCATGGTCCTGCTGACACCTTGCTAGGTTTCCTAGCAACCTAAGAAACTGATACAGCATGCATATCTGGCACATCATTGACACTCAGCGGAGTGGCTATTCCAGGACTGGGAACAGCCAATAGGCGGCAAAAGAGGAGGCCTAATGTGGTCAGTTGGACCCCATGTCCACAAAGTCGAGGGCTCAGCTAGGGTCCTAAGAGCAGGTGATATTCTGAAATCCATCTTGAAATCAGAAAACTGGGATTCTCATATTTGGCAGCAGGCATTTGTTGGAGTTTAGAGGCGAGGCAGGGCTACAATGCTCATGCAAGAGATTTTTAAACGAGGAAGGGCCCATGAGCTCAGAGAATCCCAACTGCCCCATCTCATCATGGTGGGATGCAAGCAGAAGGTCCTGGTTTTCATGCGGGTGCTGGGAGATGTGGCTGGGGAGGCCAGAAGGGATTAGACCAAAGAAAGCCTTTCAGCCACCCATGAATTTCTGATATGCCCCTGAAGGATTCTAGACCAGTGTCCGCCAGTGACCAGCAGCATCAGCAAACTCTGGGAGCTTGTTGGAAATGCAGAAGCTCAGTCCCCACCCCAGGCCCCTGAGTCAGAAACTCTGTGGTCAAGGCCCAGGAGTCTGTGTTTTAGCAAAGTCTCCAAGAGATTCATATGCACACTAAACTTTGAGGTGTGCTGGTCTAGTCTAGACAGATTTGGCCTGGGGTGACAGCATGAGTTTCCTTCTCCACAAGGACACCTGGGAGTTGCAGACTCCTATGAGCAGGTGTCTTCTCTCTTCCAGGTTTCTGACCTCATACCTTATGCTCTCTTTAAAATAAATCAAGAATCCATCCCCTTCTCTCCATCTCTACCACCATCATCTTAGACCAAACCACCATCATCACTCAGCTGGACTCACGATACAGTTTCCCAGCGGGGTTCTCTGCTTGCACCCTGACTCCTCAGTGCTCACTGTGCAGAGTGTTGTCCATGGACCTATAGCACCAGCATCACCTGTTGCTGCTCAGGCCCCAGCTCAGATGTGCGGACTCAGAACCTGCATCTAACAGGACCCCCAGGGACTCATGTCTGTTTGAAAACCACAGCTCAAGGGTCCCTTTTCCACCCAGCAGCTAGAATTATTTTCTGCGAATATTAATTGGACCATGTCAATTCCACTTAAATTTCTTTCTTCAGGGGATTCCTATTGCACTTACAGTAAATTCTGAACTGTTTGTCATTTGTTCCAACTCTAAAGAACCTACTGATATGATTCTCCCTCCTATTTCTCTGACCTCGTCTTGTTTCACTCCACCCACAGTTTATTATATCTCATTTACTTTGCTAACTTTACTGTTCCTGGAACAAGTCCAGTTTTTCCTGCCCCAGGCCCTTTGCTCTTGCTGTTCCTTTATTCTAGAATACATCTCTCTAGTTCTTTGCATGGTCAACTATGCTTTATTCTTTATGTGTCACCTCATTGCAGATTGACTTGTCAGCAGGGCTCTCCCACCCCTAATCATTCTCTATCATGGCATCCTGCTTATTTCTTTCCTGAATAGTCCTCATCGCAATCTGAAGTTATGATGTGTATTTGCTTGTTATTTACTGTTCATCTTCTCTGCGTTACCATGTTGGCTATTTGAGAGTGATAATGGTGTAGGTCATGTTCATGGCTGTGTCCCCAGGGCAAAGTAGGTACTCAATAAATATTAGTTAAATGAGTGTGTGAGAGACGCTTCTCACCATCAAGGTCTGGGTACATGGGGTTGCTGGGACCCCAGGTCTCAACATAGGGGTCACCTGTGCAGGGCATTATCGGCTTTAGACAGGGCAGCAAAGAATAGTTGAGACTTCTCTTTTTTTTGGAGTCGGCGCAGAATCTCACTCTGTTGCCTAGTCTGGAGTACAGTGGTGCACTCACTGAAGCCTTGAACTCCTGGGCTCAAGGGATCCTCCTGCTTCAGCTCCCTGAGTAGCTGGGACTACAGGCATATGCCACCATATCTGGCTATTTTTTAAATTTTTTATAGAGATAGTTTCCCAGGCTGGTCTTGAACTCCTGGGATCAAGGGATCCTCCTAGCTTGATATTTGTCTTTTTTGTAAGATCAATTGCCTCTTCTACTAGGTTGTAGGTACACAAGGCAGAATCTCATACCTGCTAGGTTGGCAGCTGTAACACGAGAATTCTGCCAATTGATATTGGGGCCACAGGCTAGAATTAAAGGAGGGTTTCCTGCATGTCTATTCTCAGGATTTGGTCAAATAAAAAAATTCAGTCCATAAGCAAAACTGAGCTGAGATGACTCAGGAGCTGTAGGAAACAGAGGAAGTTAGGTGGCTTTCCTTCTTGCAGTGGTATAGGTCCAAACATCAAAAATTCATGTTAATGACTCTTGCTGTGACAGAAATCAAAAATACTCATTGAACTTACTTTTTCTTACTGTCTTTTTTGGCAGTCTTTTCCAAAGCTGCTCTCCTTCTCAAGTAGTCATTCTGAATTTCATTATATTTTGTAGTGTGTTCTTTGATAAGGTCAGTGGTTTTCTTGTGGTGCCTCTTAACCAAGTCTTTCATTTCTTTGTAGTGCTTCTTTTGAAGTTTCACAAACGATTTCTGTTGCTTTAGCTCTTCGATGGTCTGCGCCTCCACCTCTGCAACAAACGAGTAAGAGCCAAGGGAATGCACAGGCTGCAAGCCCAGATGTGAAGGGGAGAAGATGACACAGGAAAGTGGACCCCACTTTTGGGGTCCTGAAGGCCAAGTGGGTTCTTGGCTTCACACAGGAAAGAATTCAAGAGTTAGCCAATAGAGTAAGGCAAAAGCCAGTTTACTGATGAAAAGAGAAAAAAGAGGCTACCCCATAGACACAGCAGTGGCTATCAGAGCAACAGAGAGTAGCACTTCGTGAGTTTCCGGGGTCTTATTCTATACCTTCTATTTAGTTCTACATTAAATGGAGGGAGGATTATTCATAAGATTTCTGGGAAAGGGGTGGGAAGTTCCCAGAGGCAAGGGTCCCTCCCCCTTTTAAACCATATAGGGCAACTTCCAGGACTTCATGGCATTTGTAAACTGTCATGGTGCTGATGGGAGTTTCTTTTAGTACGCAAATACATTATAAGCAGGGTGTAATGAACAGTGAGGGTAACCTGAGGTTGTTTTTCTAGGCCATCTGGGTTCTATTATAGCTGGTTTTTGCTGGGTTTGGGTCTTAAAACTCTTTATCAAGCAGGGTCTGCTATTTCCCTATCGCAAATCCACCTGCTTATTGAGTGACATCTGTCTGATCCTGACCAGCAGGAGCTTCAGAACATAGCTTTGATGTCAGACGTACTTAGGTTCCAGTTTGGCTCTATCACTTGCTAACTTTGCAATTATGTTACCAAACTTCTCAAAGACCCGATTTCTTCATTTGTGTTTTTTGTTGTTGTTTTTGTTAAAGTTTGGGTTCCCTAGATGCAGAGCCCAAGAGAGGGATTCGGGTGCATGTGATTTACTGAGGGCCTCTGGGAGAGGAGAGTAGGGGAGTGAGGGAAACAGATGGGGCTGGGGAAGGAGCTGAACAAGGATGTGGTCTCAGAAAAGTGGAGTATGGCTTCTGCCTGATCTTGTGGGGAGCTCTGGAGTGTGAGTTGCACCAATGAGTTGGTCTCATCTTGAGGCAAGAAGCATATTTGGGACAATCAGGGGCTCCCTTGGCTGGGTGAAATTTTGCAGAGAATGGGAAGCTATGAGCTGTTAGCAGGCAACTCTCACCACGTGGGGAGAGGGGTGCACCAGATGTACAGAAAATCCAGGCAGGGCACCAACAGCCCTCACTATGAGGATTATAACACTTCTACAACTTTATAGGGTTGTTATGATGATGAAATAAAAGAATGCATGGAAAGTATTTAACATAGTTTCTGGCAATGTGTCTATCGTGGCTTAGCAAATGACTGTGCAAGTTCTATAGCACCTTCTCTAAGGGTTTCCACTCACACAGACAGTGTAAGTTTGTACGTTTATCACAACAGTATATAGCAGTAAAGTGTCTCGAGAGAAGATCCCTTAATCTAATTTGTGCAAAGGCACCAGAAGGGTTAGTGGCAGCCTACATTGCTACACAGTATTTTATCCAATGCTGAGGATACTTTTAACGGGACAAAGCCTGACCTTAAACCATTCTGCATTTTACTGATATATGTCATGAATTTTAGAATATGCATTTTAAAAATATGTTAACATTTCTGAAAATAAGATGCGTCTTACAGTTGATGGGTGTCACAGTCAGTACTTTTCTTTCTTAGCAATACATGAATTTTGGGGTGCCTTACAATTGATGGTGTCTTAATGTCCATGAATTATCACTTATTGGGACCTAGATTAAGTTATAGTTCACATGTTTCCATCCTTTTATTCGAACTTTCTGCTTCTGGGAACAAAAAGATGTTACCATAAATATTTAGAACTGTCAAGCGATTCAGAAATAATATACACCATGAATAATAACAGACCTGAATAGAAAATGAGATGTCTATTGAATAACCATTGAAATCAGAATAATAACTTATGTTCTTAAATGCTAAGGTCTTTAAGCAATTGAAATATGTTTCCTTTTGCGTCTATTCTCCTGACATTCGATTTCTTTTGAGAATGAGGCCATGGAGAGAACCAGGTACATTTATTTAATGGTTTCCCTCAGGCCCAAATTGACTCATTACGGTTGCATAATAAGTTACTACATTAAAAATTTATAATCCCAAGGAATCACTGCATTCTTGGTGATGGATTCAATTCTACTTCTTTAAAAATGGTTTACAGTATATCAGCTATGGGCAGTTTAGAAATAGAGTTCTGGGTGTTCTAATCTATGACAAAACTAATTTCACATAAAGCAGTGTTTTAAAAAAGTCTATAAGTGAAAGGCTGTTGCTTAGAATATGCTCTTAAGTATTAAAATAATGCCCATTTACATAAAGACATAAATATCACTTATAAATAAGCCACCCAGAGATAATCACAGCTAATGCATTGGTACGGACCATTGCTTTTTGTCTATTTATTTGTATACTTTTAAATAGCACGTTCTATGAACACTTCTGTCTCTTGTTTTATGCATTAATGTTGTATTGTTTTCCATGGAACTAAATGTTTTGACCATGTTTCATTTTATTTTAATACATTCTTCAAGTAATTTTTCTATGCATATTTTACATGTTTTTTGGGCAAAATATAAATGCACACATAAAAGTACATCAATCATAAATGTACAGCCCTGTATATTTTCACAAAGTTACCATGCTTCAGTAGCAATCACCCAGGTCAAAATCAGAACATTGTCAACGCCACAGAAGCCTTCCTTTTGGGGTTTATGCTGTCCACCAAGTATAATCCAAATCTGGTTTCTAATAGCACGAATTCATTTCGCCTGTCTTTGAACTTTATGCAGATAGAATCCTACAGAATGTGGTCTTTTGTGTCTGGCTTCTTTTTCTCAACATTATGCTTGTGAGTTTTATCCATGTTTTTGTGTGACTGTAGTCTATTCCTGAAGCTGTATCCTATTCTATTCTTTGAATATATCACAATGTATTAAATACGTATCTACTCTACTGCTGACAGACACTTGGTTTGCTTACAGATTTTGGCTCTTACCAATGGTGCTGCTTTTGGTGAACATGTGTGTATGTTTCTGTTGTGTATTGGGCCAAGTATTATAAACACTTCCAAGACTCTACTACCTACTGCTAATTGTACTTCAGAAAGCTTG